AAATAGAATCCAACGATACATAAAAAAAAATAATCCACCATGACCAAGTGGGATTCATAACAGGTATGCAAGGATGGTTCAACATAAGGAAAACAGGTCATATTTTTGACATGTTGTCAGGAAGGCCCGTTCCCTGGAGAAGGGCTTTATGCTTGATTAAGTAGAGAGCCAGCGAAAAAGAAGAAGCCCTTGAACAAGATGGATTGACACAGTAAATGAAGAAATGAGCTCAAGCACAGCAATGGTTGTGAGGATGGCATAGGATCATCCAAGTGTCCTGATTTCATGCTTTTAAACAAAATGACACATTTCTAAAAATGTCTCCCTACAGCTTTTAACATAATCAATTAATGATATATTTTTAATTTATTTGAGTGTCTTCTTGTTCAGGGGATGCTAAATCCTTTGTTTTATCTTCTAACTCTTCTTTCTACTGAAATTCTTCCCCCTGTGGTTCATAATTATTTCTCCCGAGCTCATCTTCAGTAGAGTTCTTTGTACCTTTCCTGTGGAACTCCCACTTATTAACAATACTGTGACTCTATTCTGGAGCATAAGGAAAGGCATATTGAAGTTTATATTTAATGGCTTTGGTTTTAAACAAATGTTTCTTTCTGATCCTTGGACTTCTTTACTGTTGTTGTTATTTTTTTTCCTGAAAATAAATTTTCTAAAAATAAAAATAAAACCCTTAATTAAAAGAGATCTGTTTGTGTGTGGATTTATGCATTAATTTATTTCAGAATGAAAAAAAATAGTTTATACTTCTATTCTTAATCTCCACTTCCTGGAATTCTGGTTTCTTTTCTATTAATGTACTGTCATTGTTGTTGTTGTTAGATGCTGTTGAGGCAAGTACAATTCATAGCAACCCTATGAACATCAGTCTGAACTTTACCACTGCCTGTACCATCCTCCTGTAGTCAATGGACTATAGACTATAGTCCATTGACTATAACAATGGGCTCAACAATAGAGTCCATTGTTTTAGTCACTGTATCAATAAATCTCATTGAGTGTCTTCCCTTGCTTCACTGACCCTCCATATTTCTGAACATAATGTCTTTCTCCAAGGACTTACTCCTAACAATATGCCAAAAGTATATGAGATGACGTTTCACCATCCTTTCCTCTAAGAAGCATCCTGGCTGTACTCATTCCAAGACATATTTGTTCATTCTCTTGGCAGCTCATGGGATATTTAGTGTCCATCCCCAGCACCATAACTCAAGGACATCAATTCTTCTTTTGTTGTCTTTTTATACTGTCCAACCCTCAAATGCATAGAAGTAATTGAGAAGACCCTGGCTTGGGTTGGGTGCACCTTAGACCCTATAGTGACATCTTTGCTCTTCAGCATTTTGGAGCTGTTCCTGACCGCAGACATCTTTTGATTTCCTGACTGTTTATACTAAGGGTGTTTCTTGTGGGTCCAAGAAAGATGAAATCACTGACCATCATTTCCATCTTTTCTCCATCTATCATGATGTTGTGTTTTGGCCCCAATATATTTTTTGTTTTGGCATTTCCTTAAAAATCTTTTTTATTAGAAATGGGCCTTGGAGTGACTCACACCTCCAACTGAAGAGCTGACACCTCTAGTTTTGTCAACAAATAAAAATCTGTCTCCTCCTAACTCCCCAGATTCTATGAAGGAATACCATGATAACCTCTATCCCTCTACCCCATCCCAGTCTGCCCACGCTACACACATACACATTTATGCACACGTGAAGAAGCCAACTAGATTCCCAAGGAACTGACCAATGGGCCTCATATTTTCCTGACAGGTCCAGGAGGCCAAGGTGACAGAAGTGAAAATCAACGAGGCCCGAGAGCATTACCGGCCCGCGGCTGCCAGGGCCTCTCTCCTCTACTTCATCATGAATGACCTCAGCAGAATCCACCCAATGTACCAGTTTTCTCTCAAGGTAACTCACACTTGGATCTTTATTTTTCACATGATCACAAAAAAGGATTACAAAATAGCCAGCCCAACCCTCAGTCCCATGTGGCCACGTGGCTGACCACTAGGTACCACAGGACTCGATAGTCAAAGCCAGGGCACCAGCTGCATTGCTGTCAAACCTATGTCATGGTTCTCCTCTGTTTGATTTAAGTGTCACATGACTCATCAGTTACGTCTGATGGAACCATGAGAAGGCTCCGTCAGACTTCGTCCTCCTCATTCCTGCAGTAAGCGTATGCTAAGCACTGTCCTCGCTGACTGTGTGGGAGAGGACACCAGAGATAAAGGAACCGTGAACTCTGCCCTACAGAACTTAAAATTCAGCAGCCAGACCCGTCACCATTGGGTCGTTTCCTTCATGATGACGTCACTTGTCACCAAAGGTTTTCAACAGCTGGAAGTAGGCTGCCAGGCTTTACTTCTGAGCCTCCAACATGCCCATTAGCAGCCAAGGATGCTAACTGCTTACACTACCTAGGGTCTCTTTAAAATACAGTAAAGAGCAAAAATGCATGCATTTGTTATTGTTGTCCTTAACTGATGACCAAGTCAAGGGGGCTCTGGTTGCCCAGACCTGGAGTTGAGCTGCAAGCCCAAAGGCCACTCCACTCTCGCAGTTAGAACCCTTCAATAGCTCCACGAGAGAAGGATGGACTATTTCCTCCTGTGCTATTTGCAGCCTCAGAAAACCAGCAAGAGGGCCAGCTTTCAGTGGGTGCCACCTCCACAGCCTTTTGAGTTTGAATGACCAAACTAGGAAACACTAGCAAAAAAAAAAAAAAAAGGAAGGAAAAACAGCTGTACATTTATAAGCACATCTCCAAAAGAACATCTTTCTCCTCTAGAGCATTTGTCAGAAGACCAAAGCCACAGAGGCATTAAGAAGCAATCTCCTAGGGACTTTTTGGGTTTGGCCCGGCTCAGAAAGAGAATTCGTACAAAGAGAATATGCACGTGCACTCGTGCAAACACACACAAACACATACACAGAGAGTGAAGTGTAGGGGTACAGTCACAGAGAGAGAAATGGGGAGGTGACAGTGACAAAGAGAGAGATGGGGGTTGACAGTGACAGAAAATACAAGACATTATTTTCCTTGAAGGCACAAAAGGAAAATAAAGTCTGAAAATCTAAATAGCTAGGAATTAAAAAGTTTCAAATTAAGCCTTAGTTTTCTTTTTTTCTTAATGATTGGTTCTCTTCCTATCACATTTTCAATTCTATTCCAAATGCTTATAATGAATTAGTATTTAAGTTCAAAACGATGAAATATCTGTTCATATTTTTTATCGCACCCCTGAAGTATCATTTTTAAAAGAACTAAAGTGAGGGACATGCCCAGTATTGCAGGGAGATTCTATCTTTAAAAGTACACTTAAGAGGAATAGTGAAATGGCTTCAGAACTAATAGGAAGGAATACAAAGACACATGAGAAGGAGAAATTGTTAATATTATGCCTGCTACATGCAAGGGCCTCTTTTAGACAACAGTGTTGTACAAAGCAGTGTTTCAATACTGGAGAATTTTATGTTAGTCAATGTAATCATTGTTCCAAAATGCTTATTATTGTCTGCATTTTACTTTATTTTTGTAAGATTAATTAATAAATATTTATTGTTTTAACTCCAAATTAAATTATTGAAACATTAGTGCAGATATTATATAACTATTGCAACTATCCCCAACTTCCATCCAAGTAATTCCAACTCATAGTCACCAGGTAAAAGACAGAACAGGAAAGAGTAGGGAAGGAGCTTTAGTGGCCTAGTGGATAGAGAGTTGTGCTGCCAAGCTAAATTCAAATGGTTCGAATCCACCAGCTGCGCCGCTAAGTAAAATAGGTAATCTCCTTTGTAATTTATAGCCTCTGCAAACCTGCTAGAGGGTCAGCTAAGAGTCAATTCCAACTTGATGTCAATGAGAAATAAGACAGGGCACAATTGACTTTCTTATTTTAGTACTTATCCAATACAAACTTCTTGGTGTAATTATTTTTATTATTATCCTTTCTTTTTTTCATTGATCAGAGCCATGGACTCTTACCTTGGCCCATACATAGCTTGGTCTATTTTGTGACAACATAATAATTCATATGAACAATATTTTTTAAAAAGTTATACTATTTAATAACATGTTTTCTTGCTGCTGCTGTCCTTTGTTGGCAATATAAGCAGAGGAAACATTTCTGTGGGCTGGCAAATGAAAATATTCTTCATAGACAGGACAGCTGGCTGTGTGCAGAGGGCTGTGTAAATGAACGACATCTGGCCTCCCCTGCCCATAGGCCTTCAGCGTTGTCTTCCAGAAGGCAGTGGAGAGGGCTGCGTCCAGTGAGAGCCTGAAGGAGCGGGTGACCAGTCTCATAGACAGCATCACCTTCTCCGTGTGCCAGTACACCACCCGAGGACTCTTTGAGTGTGATAAGCTGACCTACCTTGCCCAGCTTACCTTTCAGGTAAAAGAAGCTTAAAGAAATTTCCAGAAGATGAGTTATTTTCCAGCACTGAATGATAAAAATATAAAATAACTTTTGGGATGGGAGTGTCAGAGACAGTGCAATTGGCACAGGACAGAGCGGAGTTTAGGGCTGTTGTACATAGGGTCGCTATGAGTTGCAGGCGACTCGACGGCACATAATAACAACAACAACAACAACAAGTAATTAAAACTAGTTTTTAAATTGGGGTGTGTGTGTGTGTGTGTGTGTGTGTTTCCCTTTGTAATTTTTAATGTTAGGTGCTGTCGAGTACATTCTGTGTCATCACGGGGTCCCTGTGTGCAATAGAATGAACCAGTGCCCTTCCCTGTGCTGTCCTCACTTAGCCCATTGCTGCAGCCATTGAGAACATTTATAATAGAGATACACTGAGTTCTTGCTAACCAGAGTATGTTCATGGTGTACCTCTGAATCGCCCTGATGTTTGCAGTGAAAGCACATACACACAGAGAGACGTGGCATGGGTATATACACTCTCTCCTTTTATCCTTTTTAAATAGCCAGAATGGTTGGTCAAGTTCTTGTGTACAAAGCAGCAGTAATTACAGTGAGTGGCAAGACCTAATATCTCTGTAACCCTGTGACCGCCATAGGCCAAATAAATAGTGTCGTTCGACATTGCAGATTCTCCTAATGAACCAAGAAGTCAGTGCAGCTGAACTGGATTTCCTGTTTCGGTCCCCGGCACAAGCAGGCCTCGCCAGTCCTGTGGAGTTCCTGTCTGATCAGGCCTGGGGCTGCATCAAGGTGAGTTTGCACATGCGTGCACTTGACATTGAGTCGACTCCCAGCCGTGGAGACTCTATTTGCATCTAAGGACAGCTGTGCTGATTGGTTTCCAGTGGCTGAGTTTGGGCAAATAGGTCTTCAGATCTTTTTCCCAAGGTACCTCTGGGTGAACTCGAACCTCCAATCTCTTAGTTATTAGTATTAACCTCTGTAAAAAGTCAAGTTCTCATCTCTTGAAGGCTTTCCTGAACTCTCGTCTGCATCGTAGAGCTGGCAAGGAAATGAAGGTAAGTATATCCCTTTTCACACCCCTCTGCATCAGGGCTTGACCTTAGCTTATCTGCAGGGAAGACTCTGCAGAGAGAAACAGGCTCCAGGGCTGGTGTGCAATGCTCTACTGCAGGCTGTAAGTGGACACTGCATCTCTGCTTTGTCTGACCAGCATATGGACGAGACTGTGAGGCCCCTATGTTGATGGGGAGAGAATGCACTGCACTTTAATGACACAGACACACACCATGTCCAGGCATCTCCGTGTAAATCCTAACTCAGATTTAAAGCAGGGAATGTACTCCTGCTTCCATGTTCAGTGGTTTAGAATAGTTGCTGTTGACTTCTGACAACCTTACATATAATAGAATACAACATCACCTGGTCTTGCACCCACCCTCTTCAGTGACTGTTGGCACGCTTGAACCCATTGATGCAGCCACTCTGTATTTGAGTGCCTTCCAACCCAGGAGACTCATCGTCCAGTACCAGACTGGACACTATTATGTTATCATCCATAGGATTTTCACTGGCCAATTTTGGAAGTAGACCACCAGGCCTTTTATCCTCTTCTGTCTGAATCTGGAAACACCACTGAAACCTGCCCTCTCTGGGTCATTATCTTATCTAGCACTGCTGTGACAGAAATACTATAAGTGCCTGGATTTAATAAACTGGAATTTCTTCTCTTGCCATTTAAGAGATGATTGTGGTAGTGGGTGTGGTGTGTACCAGTCAAATTGGAACCAACCCATAGCTGACCTTGTAGCGGGTTTACAGAGTCAGTAAATCACACAGAAGGAGATTGTCCATCCAGCATCCATGGAACATCTGGTGGATTCAAACCACACACCTTTGATATGGCAATGCAGCTCCTTACCACTGGGCCACCAGAGCTCCAATAAGAGGTTAGAAATCTAAATTCCAATCACTAACCCTAAGAGAAGGAAGCTCTGGTGACTTGGCACATTGCTTTGCTAAACCCAAGGCCAGATGTCTCTAATGGTTTGTATCCACCAGAAGCTCCTCAGGAGAAAAGGGGTGGTCTCCTCTCACTTTAGTCTCCAGCCTCAGAAACTCAACAACTTGGTCCCTATGAGTCAGAACCAACTCGTGAATTGAGTTCTAGCTTTTACTCTCTGGGTTCTCAGGAAGGCTCTTTTCTTCAGCCTCTGTAGGCCAACTGTTCCTTGGAGATCCCTGTGTTGAGAAATATCCCAACACAGACACATGGATCCAAAAGATTCATTCCACTGGAAGTTCTTTTTTGGGAGGGTCTTCGTATCCCTCTCAGTTTTCTTTCATTTTATCTCTTGGAACATATATAATGTTACAAGCCACGCCAAAGGGAAACTCTCCTTACATCAGATCAGGGCTGTGATGGGATCAAGTGTGTTGCATCCCACCCTTAATCCTTTTACCGTTGTTACTTTTTTTCTAATCACAGGGGATCAGTACTCAATGGCACATTCCTTCATTAAACCCACATTTTTGGGGGGAGACTTAATTCAGCCCATGACAGTGCTCTTGTGGTATTTGAAGTAACCCATGACACAACCAGCCACCACAAAGGATAAGCTTCGAAAGGCTATGAATTGCCCATATGAGACAAGTCAAGTTGCCTTTCTCTCTATTCCTCTGCAAAGCCATCTTCAGTACAAATTCGTACAACAAGGAGTGACTCACAGCATGGCTTTGATGCTTTCATTTCTCAAAGAATAACCCAAAAGCCATTGTGCAGCCAGGTCCCATTCCTCCTCCTCAAAAAATGCTCATTTGTTTTGATTTGTATATGGCTTTGTTTTGTGAGCTAAGCGCAACTGGCCATTGAAAAGCATTTGCGAGTGGAGCTTGGTCTCTCTGAGTAGGTGAAGTGAGCAGCTGAGTTCAGACCCATCAGACTGGAGTGCACAGCAGGGTGTGAGCAGGTGAGACTCAATGTGGTGTGTTCTGCATATTGCTGAAGGCTTTGATGAATGCTCTTTTTAAGGGTTCTGTTGGGTTATAGTCTAGAGAAACAAAATAAGTATAATTGAATAGGACATGATAAAAAAAAATCAAAAGCATTCTTCTTAATGAGGAAGGTTGATTGTTTTTTTCCCCCAAGAGAACTAATGAGCAAGTAATGAATGGAGTCTTGGTGATAAAGTGCTGCTTTTATTAACCTCCTTTCAAATGCTGAACTTGAAGGTAATAGACGCTTTCTGTTATTCACTGGAAAGCCTCATCTAGGATGCACACACGCCTTTGTTAGCCTTTGAACAGGCCCCTTACTTCCACTCTAATGCCAATTAGCACAGTTGTATTTTGCTGCACAATCTAATGTAATTAGGTTAATTAGTCATTTCCATTTGGCTTTATTAGAAGGCTAGAAATCCCTTTCCCTCATTTGGAAGATTAAATGTTGCAATTGTGTCCAATCCAGAGCTTCAAGAAAGTATGCTTCAGACAAGGCCATGGCAGCAGGGACTTCTGATTACAGGGTAATTTGACCGGTTTGGTGGTGACTCCAGAGATAATGGGGCCACAGAAGGGTTAATAGTGATACAGGCTGGGCAGAGGGGTGAAGTGGCTGCCTAGCAGAAGATGGAAGTTCCTCGGCACAGAGAGAAATAATTACAGCAGCTGCCGCCTTCCTTAGCCTGTCAAGATCCCCCCTACTGGCTGCCCAGATGTCAAACTTCATTCATCGACCCCTTTCTAAGTGCCAGGAGGCCTAAGGCACATAAAGATACCCAAGACATTTCCTACAGAGGACTCACACTTCTTGTGGGAGTAACTGACAGCTAAACCAGAAATTCTAAGTCAATAATTTTTGGTATCCCAAAGAACATGGAAAGGCTTGGTAGTATTTAAAACATGTTTTAGCTCTATTTGTTCACAGAATAAGATGGACAGACAATGATTATTTGTCCTCATCCTACAGCTGAAAAACAAACAACAAACCCAACCAAAATCCACAAGTTTTTAAAACAGTCTGTATATTCAGTGGCTTGTCATGATCCACACAGTCAATAAAACACAAAAAGACGCTCTTCTGGTATTCCTTACTTTCAGCCAAGATCCATCCTGACATCAGCAATGATATCCCTGGTGCCATGGCCTTTTCTAAATACCACTAGAACGTCTGGCAGTTCCATATCTATGTGCTGTTCCAGTCAATTTTGAATGATCTCCAGCAATATTTTGCTTCCATGTGATATTAATGATATTGTTCAATAATTTTCACATTCAGTTGGATCACCCTTCTTGGGAATAGGAACAAAATATGGACCTCTTCCAATCTGTTGTCAGGTTGTGGCTGACATTGAGAATAATCCCAGAGCACTTGATTGTGCTCATGTGGAATCTATACCTGGGTCAAAAGGCTGCTGTGAGAACAGAGCAGAGGAGCACTGCATGATTGAGTTGGGAAGGAAGTGTGCCAGGATTGTATTCTATCTCCATACCTATTCAGTCTGTATGCTGAGCAAATTGCTCAAGAAGCTGGACTCTATGAAGAAGAATATGACATCAGGATTGGAGAAAGCCTCATCAATAACCTGCCTTATGCAGATGACACAGCCTTACTTGCTGAAGTGAAGAGGACTTGAAGCATTTGTTGCAGAAGATCAAGGAATGCTGCCTTCAGTATGGATTGCATCTCACTATCAAGAGAACAAAGATCCTTACCACTGGACCAGTAGGCAGTGTCATGATGAATGGAAAGGAGATTGAAACTGTCAACATCTTCATCTTCATTGGATCCATGATTGACACTCTTTGTATGAGCAGTCAGGAAATAAGGAGACTCATTGCAAAGGGGAAATCTGCAGTTAGAGTTCTTTCCAAATTATTGAGCGATAGTGATGTTAGTTTGAGAACTAATGTGCATCTGATTCAGGCAATAGCCTTTCTGATTACTAGCTATGCATCTGAGACATGGACAATGAATAAGAAAAAGAATTGATGCCTTTGAGCTGTGGTGTTGGAGAAGAGCACTGAACATACCATGGATGGCCAAGAGAATGAACAGATATGTGTTGGAGAGGGTGCAGCTGGAATGCTCTTTAGAGGAAAGAAAGATGAGGCTTCTCCTCACATACTTTGGACCTACTGCTAGGAGGTGCTATTCCTTGGAGAGGGACAAGATGCTGGGAAGGGTGGAGGGTCAGTGAAGGAGAGGAAGACCCTCAACCAGATGCGTTAACACTGTGACTGCTGCAATGGGCTCTTGTGTGTCAGGAAGTGTGAGGATGGTGCAGCATAGAACAGGGTTCAGATCTTTTATTATAGGGTTGCTAGGGGTCATATTTGACTGGACGGCACCTAACAACAGCAACATTCAGTGGCTTGTGAGTTAGGGGGCTGAGACCAGAATATATGTATCCCAGTACCTCGTCTGCCTTTCTGCAGGCCACCCACACCATTTTTAGTTTGAACATGGTGCTGCCCTGCTCTTAGAGGTCAGGTTAGGGTGAGAGGCTGCAGAGCCTGTGTGAAAGGGCACTTAAAACAAGGCCACATGTCCAGCAACATAGGAGAAGAGTTTGAACAAGCCCAGGTCAAGGATATGTCTGTTTTTCCAGCCATATTTTTCCCTTGTCGTCTATAAGAAGTCCTTGATTGATGGAAAGTATTAACACACTCAGATGCTGCCTGGAAGCTTGGAGGTTTGGATTCACCCAGAGGCTCTTGACAAGTAGGGTCTGGAGATCTACCTCTGAAAAATAATTTCTTGGGAATCCTATAGAGCAGAGTTCTACTCTGACCCACGTGGCATCATGGTCAGTTGGAATCAACTCCATGGCCATTGGACTTGGTCTTGCTCCTCTCTTCAGTCCCATTACCTTCGGTCCTGTCTCACACTCTCCTTCCTCCATCTGCGCGCCTCTCTCTCTCTCTCTCTGCAGTCCCATGCACATAGCAAGGTCCCACTCATCTCCCCTTTCTCTTCATCTTAAGACACTGTAAGCGACATGCAAAACATGTGCCTTTAATGCAACAATGAATGAATGGAAATCCAAAATCTCTGTAAATGTTCATTAAAATAAATTTTTTAAACATGTGCCTTTGTTCTCCATTGTGTTCCCAAGTACTTGGCACATAGTAAGCATTTCAATAAATATTAAATTGGTCACTCTATCCATTCATAAATAAGAATACTGGATTCTTTATTTTATGAGACTGTGGCAGACACTTAGAATACACAAGAAAACTTTACGTCTCATTAGAGAGACCAGGCATACAGGCAGAGTTGGGAAATAAAATTGAAGTGCTAGAGGCAATTAAAAATCATCTGCAGTAGAGATATCAACTTTGTGAGTAACTCTAAAGGGTCCACAAAGGAGGGGGCAACTATGTCTTCTGTGTTAGATGTACTTGAAAAGGGTTGTTTATTATGAACTGGACTTTAACAGCTTGTTGAGCTTTAATAAATACTGAACATGACTAGCACAAGAAAAAAAGAGTGAGTATAATTTGGTAAAAATTTGAACAGAACCCTCAACACAGTAGAAATAGAACAAACAAAGAATTGAGTCTGCTACATTTTCAAAACTGGAGCATATATCAGTTTTAAGTTAAGGAAATTCAATTACCACTTGGTCAGAGCAGGAAGGAAGAGGTTTGCTTCTCTGTACAGATTGGAGGGAGGCACCAAAAAGAGATTTGATCGCCAAGTAAAGCATTTGGACTTAATCCTTTTAGAAGCAGATACCGCATGTACATTTTAGAGTTGGCATTTAATAAAAGTCCATGACTGCAGAGATATTTTGAAAGAATTGATAGGAGCTGGTGGCAAGGTAAATATACAGAAGTCCAATCTAGATGACTAGAATAATGATGGTACTCCTTCTCATGTCTGTTTTCCATGTAAACCTTGAAAAGAAATGCTACTCAGTCTTTGCAGCTGATCGTATCCCAAAACTTTTATTTCCTAAAACCTATTACACAGTGTACATGAATGAAACACAATGTATACAAAGTATTAAAATCCATAAAAACCAAAAGATAAACAATTAATTCATTATATTGCAATAGGTGTTTTGTGAAAAGATATTTTCTTATGTTAATTGGTTCCTGAATTATAAACTTGTTTAGCCTTAACAAAAGGACTAGTTTTAGAGGCTTCTGTAGGATTGTTAAGGTTTTCAGGAGTTGAGAAGATGCTGTGATAAATATATGACATCTATTAAAAAAAAATCAAAACAAAAAAAACACATACATAAACAACTTACTATTACTTAGTAGGTTATTTAGAGGGAGCTCTGGTAGACTAGTTGTAAGAAGCTGCTCTACAAAACCAATGGCATGTGATTCGAATCCACCAGCTGCTTTGCAGGAGAAGGAGGGACAGTCTCCTGTGTGATTTACTGCCCCTGAAAATCTACTGGAGGGTCAGCTATAAGTCATTTCCCACTCGATGGTTCAAAACAACAACAGCAAAACCCTATACGTTAGGGTGCCCTGGTAGCTTAGTGGTGAGGAATTGCCTTGCCAACCCAAAGATACACAGTTCAAATCCGCCTGTTGTTCCACAGAGAAGGATGACAAATTTCCTCCCATGCAATTTCCTGCCTCTGAAAACCCATTGGAGAATCAGCAATGAGTTGGTTCCAACTAAACAATAGACACAAACATCTATTATTTAGGTAATTTACTGATGGTAAGCTAGTTGATGTCCTTACTCATTCATTAGTTACCCGAAGGTTAAATCCAAGGTTCCAAACAAGAGTAAAAATCAGGGATATGGTGACTTCTTGCTCTTCAGTCCACAATATAAAGGAAATTAAAGCTTTCTGGAGAAATTACCATTCACAACAAGATTATCTGACCTTTCCCAGGCACTTTCGTTCATGGAAGAATTCTATAACCTGGATCGGGATATTGAAGGATCTTCCAAAAGCTGGAAAAAGTTTATGGAGTCCGAATGTCCTGAGAAAGAGAAGTTTCCACAGGAGTGGAAGAACAAGACAGCCTTGCAGCGTCTCTGCATGATGAGGGCCATGCGGCCGGACCGGATGACCTATGCCATGCGGTAGGCAAACGGAATGGTGGTGGTGAGACTTAGAAAAGGTGCTGGCGAGGAGATGGGCACTCTCAACGTATCCACATTAGCAGGGCTCAACTCCTGTGCCTTCTACGTATACTAATGGAACTCTTTGTCTCAATAGCCAAAATCTCATAAGGACTTTTATTCTATATATGCTGTGCATTTTCTTAATGTCTAACTGGACAGTTTAGAAAGATGTTGTCTCGATTACCAGTACTGCTGTAACAAAGATACCACAACTGGGGATCTTTAAAGTTATAAAAATAAAAACAGTAATACAAAAAGAAATAAAATAAAGAACAGGGATTTGGTTGACAAGAACTTCAAGGGTCTAGAATTCTAAGGTCTGGGAGTAGCTCCAGAGGGCAGTCTTCCCATGTCAGTAGCTCCAAGAGGTCCTGGACATTCCTTGATGTCTATCTTTCCCTTTGTGTATCTCTGTATCTTTTCTACTGTTCTTATGACTCAAAAGGGTTTAGGTTTAGAACCCTCTCTTCTGAAATGAACTAATTTACATAATAGCAGAAAGCCCATATTGCTGAACAAGATCAGGTTCGTAGATGCAGTTATAAATCCTAAGGTCAAGATTTCATCGTGTGATATAAGGGAACATAATCCAATCCATCGCAGACTTTTAATCACTATGAATATTTAAATGGGATTCTAATAAATATCCAGTGTGATAAGAAATTACAGGATGCAGAGAAATGTTGGATAAATCAATCTTGCATCTCCATACAACACAATGGGAAAAAAAGAGAGAAAAATAAACATGGCTGTAGTTGGGGTTGTAAATGAATGGCCAGAAAAGGGTTTTGTCAGATGGCTTCTATTCTTTGAAAAGTAGGCAACAAAGTGGTCTAACTTATGTGGAAAAGAGGTGACAGGATTGAAAATGTGAGGAGAGTGGAAAGGTTTGAAATAGAACCTTTGGAAATTAGAAAAAAAAGGTACTTAGGGAAATGCAAAGAAATTAAAGTTCACATGGAAGGTCAACTAGTTAAGGACTTGCATTTGTAAGAACATCTAACTTCAGCACTGGGTGATGTTCTTAGGTAAGTCCAGAGTCAGGGTTGAGTTGTTCCAGAGTGTGAGCAATTCCCAATGGGCGTCTTAGAAGAAGCATTAAAAGCAATGGAGCTGAGGATATTGGCGAGAAATTCTTAGAGACCAAGTTGTTATTGTCCTTAGTCAACTCTGATTCAGGGCAGTCCAGTATACAACAGAGCAAAATATTGCCTGTTCTTGCATCATCTGCATGGTCACTAGTATGTTTGAGCCCTTTTCACAGTCACAGTATGAGTGAGGCTCAGTGAAATAAAGGAAGACCCTTAACAAGATAGATGGACCTAAAATAGTGGCACCATGCACAACCTGTCCTTTTGTGACTGAAATATTTCACTCAGTATAATGTCCTTCAGGGTCACCCATTTTGAATAATATTGCTTGAGTTCCTTGTTTTTCACTGCTGCATAGTGTAAATATGCCACATTGTGTAAATATGCCACAGCTTCTCTATCCATTCGTTTGTTGATGGGCAGGGTTGTGGTGAGACTGAGAAAAATTAGATAAACTATGTATACTGCACTGAAACATATGAGGGAGAGAACTGTTTTAAAGTGCCATGTGATTGAGTATTATGGTTATGACAAGAGTCTGGAATGAAGGTTGCGTAGTGAAGTGTATTCAGGGTTGGGGGTGGACTCTACACAAACGAAATAATTTTTCTTTTACTTTTCAAAGAGAAGTGCGAACTGGGGGGAGGGTGATCGGGGGTAAAATGCAACAATGAATGTATAGAAATAAAAAATCTCTGTAAATGTTCATTAAGATTAATTAAAAAAATTAAATTTTTAAAAAATGTAAAAAACCCAAGATAGATGGACGCAATGACCATAACAGTGGGTTCAGAGCTGATGATGATAATGACAGAGAATAGGGTAAAATTCAGATCCATTGCTCATAGGATTGTGATGAGTCATAGTAGACTTGATAACACCAAACAATAACAACATAGTAGAAGAAAGAGGAATAATCTCCTCTCATACAATGTATGTTATTGTTTGTTGCTGTTATGTGCCATATAGAGTCACTTACGACTCATAGCGACCCTATGTACAACAGCCCTAAACCCTGCTCTATCCTGTGCCAGTCACATTGCCTCTGACACACCCATCCTGATTACCCCAGTCACTGAATCAATCCACCTCATAGAGGGCCTTCCCTTCCAGCACTGTCCCTTCACCCTCCCAAGTAT